TCATGAGGCATTCTGTTTAGTTGTGTGTGTTTTTTGTGAGTCTGAAAAAAATTGTGTATTTTTATTGAGTGCAAATTTGTCCAATAGATCAAGTTATATCATTACATTGTTTAGATCTTCTATAGTCTTATATATTTTTTCAGGTTGATTTATAAATTCTTAAAAAGTATATTCAAATTATTTCCGATGGAATTAATTTTTCTTTATAATTTATATCCAGTTTTTGTTTCATTTTTAGGCTATGTTGTTAAAAGCATATTGGCTCTAGGTTATTGCATCTTCTCAATTAGTCTTTTTATCATAAAATAATAACATCATTAAAATGGTTTTCTGACTAAGTTTTTATTTTATTTGACTAATGTTATTGGTACTACCTTTCCTGTGGTTAGTATTTCTGACATATCTTTTTATATCACTTTATTGCCAACACTTCTGCATTATTATTTTTAGATGTCCCTATTTTAAGCAGCATGGCTACTCAGGGTAGGTAACCCCACCTGCTTAGACAAACAATTCAAATATCACTGCTTTATCACAACAAAGGTTTAAAAATTATTCTTTAATCATTACAATCTCTTTCATATTGGTTTTTATTAGGACTTTTATTATTAATACTTCAATTTACTATATCTGCTGGCAATCGGCTCATAGTGTTTCTTTTCTAGTGTAGCCTATAGTCTTTTTTGGGGGGGGGGGGGCGTATTTTGGATTGAGCTTATCTTTCGGAGAGTTTTTTCTTTCCCATAGGTAGATTCCCAGTGAATCCTAGGTTGTAAAAGTAGCACTACCAAGTGATCACATTTGATTCTTCTGGATCCCTAAGCTAGGTCTAGGTCTTCAGTGGTCCTAGATGATTTTCCATTTTAATTTCTTGACTTGGGTTTCCTGCATCATTCAGGTAATATAAACTAAGGCATGCTTGGCACATGGTTAATGTCTCCAATTCTCATGGGTTGTTTTCTTTTCCACCCAAGATTTCAAGCAGACTAGGCTTTCCAAGGCCAAGGGGTAGAGTTTGTTCTCATTCCCTTTTATTTTTATTTTTATTTTTAAAAAATAATTTTTCATTTTTATTGACTTCACAGAGAAAGGGAGAGGGAGAAAGAGAGAGATAGAAACATCAATGATGAGAGAAACATCATTGATTGGCTGCCTCCTGCATGCCCCATACTGGGGACTATGCCCACAACCTTGGCATGTGCCCTTGACCGGAATCGAACCTGGAACCCTTCAGTCCACAGGCTGACACTCTATCCACTGAGCCAACCAGCTAGAGCTCTCATCCTCTTTTATTAAAGAGGCAGTTCTTGAAGGTTCAGGACCTTATTTAGAAAGTTCACACCTAGGCCTTTCTTCTAGTACTTGGAGATCACTTGTCCTAAGGCCTATGTCCAGTCCAAAACCCATGGGCTACCTTCTCATAAGCTTTCTGGAATAACTGTTTATTTCTGGCATCTGTGTATTTCCCTTGTTGTTGTTTTCAAATTTGGAGATGTATTAAATACTCTTTGGGTGTCCTTTCTTATACAGCATTTTTTGTATTTATGATGTTACCTGGCATTATACCCAGCCAGACACTTTTTAGCAAAGAGAGAAAATCTCAGAGTAAGAGAATGTAATAGCATTGCTTTACTTTTATTATATTTCATTTATATGCATATTTGTAGGCAAGTGATTCTAATTTCCATAAATATTAGTGATACAAGCATTCCTTTCAAAATAAATCTATTTAGCTAAAATAAATCAATTTAAAGAAAAATATTAGATTTGTAAATGCTAGATGCTTATGAGAAAAACATAAAGGTAATATATTAATATGTTTATGAGATAACAAAGAGAATTGGGTGCCCTTCCTAACTTTTGTCACCATTTTTTAAAAAAATGTTCTTTCATGCTGTAGCAATACAGACAAGAAGATGTGTACCATCCATATGACCCTAGAATGTGGGAAATAGATTATCCAGGTTAGGGTAGCAGTGTGAGTCAGATATGTCCTTCAAACAAGCAGTAAAGATTAAGAGGTGGTAACACAGAAACCCATCTCAGGGAAAAACACAACAAAAATTCCTTTCTTGTTCACATATCCAGCGAGCTTTAGTCAGGGGGCCTCAGCACCTCACAGTAACTGGGCCTGTCAGAGCCTCTCTGTGGCCACCAAGGCACTTACTCCTAATTCTTCTGACCAGAATTGACACCTGCCACTCCCATTCTCATTTCATTTGTCATAGCAACTCACGTGGTCACCCTAATTTCACAGGAGAGCAGGAAAGTACAGTCTTACCATGTACCCAAAGGCGGAGAACCAGAAAAAGTTGATGAAAGAATTGGTTCCTAGTGATGTAGAAACCATTCCGTGAACAACAGTTCTGGATCCATCCTCTAGATGGAGACCTGGAGCTGAGCATCTGTTTGGGAAGTCAGCCCTAGTAGAGTTACACTAGTGTGTTTACAACTTCCTCAGCTGCTTTGGTAGCTAGCTTCCAGTCTGTACACAGAAAACCCCAAATTAAGTAGTTGCTATGGCTTGATAAGGAAGAACGTCCCTTCACTCTGGACTGATTTGTTACCTAACTGATCCCAAAAGGCTTCCATTACCAATTGTAAAGCTCCATTCTGTTCAATCCCCAAGTACTCTGTTTGACCAGTTTGTTTCTACAAATATTTATGGACCTGATGTGTGAATGTGGCTGAATTATTTACGGTCTGTGCAACCTGGGTTCAGCTTTCCTTCTCTGTCCCTGGGGTTTCCTAAAATGTCTGCAATCTCCACAAGTTTGTGAGAGTGCCTCTGCTCTGATCACACACACACACACACACACACACACACAATCGCAGCCTTCAGTGTTTATCTTCCCCCACACAGGCCACATCTGGCTTTCTAGCACCTTCTTGACAGGGTCTCTGCTCTGTGTTTCAAAAAAATATTGAGAGACAAGAGCTCCACTCACTAAGGTTCTGTGGCACTTACAGGCTCTGTGGGGATCTGTGCTTGCGGTACTGAAATTTTCCCTTACCTGGGTTAGTACTGAAATTATAGCAACTTTAATTATGTTAAACCATGAGCCAAATTTTTTTTAAACTTCTTCAAACGCCACTTCTTCAAAATAGACTCGCCCAGGCCTTGGTATTTTGTGGAAGAGCCACACTCAAGGGGCCAAAGAGCCGCATGTGGCTCGCCAGCCGAGGTTTGCTGACCACTGCCTCAGCACATAATAGACACTCAATACTTATTCATTGAATAAATGAAGAAATACAGTTATCACTAGAGGTGTAGAGTTTTGTTTTCATCAAAGGGTTATTGACGATTAGGATTTTAACTTGGATCTTAGAGAGTTTGATCATCTACATAAGCAAACTCCAAATGTTTGATAGACCCAGATTCAAGTGGAGAGAAGGCTCAATAAGAGAGAATGAGAGGGACTATTTAATAAATTTAGAACTTAACAATAAGTTTTATCATGATTAAATTTGGATTAGTGTCTATATCACAAGGATTCACCCCGGATAAGTGAAGTTTTATGGAAGCCACCAAGAAGATTAATCCATTATCATGATAAATGAGGACTTATTGAATGAGGGATGGGAGATGAAAATAAGTCAAGAGACAGCCGAAGCCGGTTTGGCTCAGTGGTAGAGCATCGGTCTGCGGACTGAAAGGTCCCAGGTTTGATTCTGGTCAAGGACATGTACCTTGGTTGCGAGCACATCCCCGGTAGGGGGTGTACAAGAGGCAGCTGGTTGATGTTTCTCTCTCATTGAAGTTTCTAGCTCTCTATCACTCTCCCTTTCTCTCTGTTAAAAATCAATAAAATATATTTTTTTGAAAAAAAGAAAAAAGAAAGAAAATAAGTCAAGAGGAATTGACTGGACAGTGTGGCCAGTTTCCTATGACAGCATATAAATTTCACAGTTTTCCTCAGTATTTTTCTATTCCCCTACACTTGTCTTACCAAATGGGCTAATATAAATGGTCCTAGGCTTGGCATTGATTAGAGAGAAGAGACAGTAACTCATGACTAGAACCATCTTTACCAATATGTAATAAACAATTAATTTTTAAATTTTAAACAATTAAAGAAAATAACATTGGTTGATACCTTCTTAGGAATTTTAGGTACTTTACTTCATTGCTTAATCTTTTAGACAACTCATGAGGTAGGTGGTATACTAGTATCCCTATCCTATATAATAAAAGGCTAATATGTAAATCAACTGAACAATGAAATGACTGGTTGCGATGATGCTCACTGACCACTAGGGATAGACACTCAGCGCAGGAGCTGCCCCCTAGTGGTAGTACACTCTCACAGGGAGAGCGCCACTCAGCCAGAAGCCAGGCTCACTGCTGGCAAGTGAGCCTCTCCCACCTCCAGCAGCACTAAGGAGCAGTGAGCTGAGTAATAAGGAGCAATAAGTGAGGGATCCTGAACTACAAGAGGGTGCAGGCCGGGCTGAGGCACATCCCTACCCCCACCCCCGAGTGCATGAATTTTGTGCACAGGGCCTCTAATTTTACAAATAAAGGAAGTGAGACCAGCAGGGTATACTTTCCTTGGCCCGTGTTGTTGAAGGAATCTGTTCAAATTTACACAGAGGAAGAGATATATACAAAATCAGTTCTATCTTTACTCCAAAGCACATATATTCCTTTCTTACTGAAAAATATATATTAGATACCCTCTTAAGTATATTTATTAGTGCTTTGCTTTTTCTGTTTCTGAGGTGTTTTTTTTTTTTTTTTACTTAGGGTATGTTTACTTATGTGATCTGGTAGGAGTGACAGGCCGCATGCACCAAGTGACACTGGTGTCCATGGTTCCAATTCACAGTAACCGAGAAAGTCTTCATTCTAATTTATGGACACTTAGAGTGGATTCAGTACATGTACTTGATTCATTCCACATGAATTAAAAACGCTATCCTGGAATCTCAATGTTTCCCTTTCAAAGAAAATTAAATCCCACACAACTGTGAACACTCTTTGCTTTGCTGTCTTTCAG